CACACACACACACACACACACACACACACACACACACACACACCCCAGGAAGCTTGCAGAGGCCTTCTGACTGGGACAGAGGGCTCCAGCAAATCCTAAAAAGGATTTATGTTTTAGAATCACACACACACACACACACACACACACACACACACACACCCACCCCAGGAAGCTTGCAGAGGCCTTCTGACTGGGACAGAGGGCTCCAGCAAATCCTGAAAAGGATTTATGTTTTAGAATCCGGCCCTAGCCTCTCAGCTGGTCCCCGCCCCAAGCCACTATTCATCCTTAGCTCACCCCGCGGATGTCCCAGTAACCTAGAGTCACGGACATGTCGGTGTTGTGGACTGCGAGGCCGGGCCTCTACCAGGTTGGTCTCTTAGTTTTGGGAGAGCCGGACTCTCCCAGGAGCGGGCGCCTGGTTGCAGAGAGACCTCCAATTCCAGCCCCGCCCCGCCCCGCCCCGCCCCCAATTCCAGCCAACCCAGGACGCCCTAGCTTGAGCCAAGGCGAGTATGAAAACCTGGAAGTATTGCTGCCTTAGACGGGAGGGTCCTGGGAGCCAGGTTGGGACGCCCAGCAGCCAAAGCAGGACTAGCTGGGTTCTTCTGCTCCCCAGCCTCGGCGGCGGCTCCCCGCCCCCACCTGCTGAGTCCTCTGAGAGCTAACAACTGCCCTTGGCCATGGCTGGCTGTTGAAAGCAGTGTGGTTATCCCCTCTTTCCCTTCCTGCCGTTGCTCAGTCTTCAACCCTACAGTTAGTTACTGGGTCAGGCCAATAAGGGGTGCCTTGACCTGAAAGACCAGTACACCACTTTAATCCACAATAATTATTGATAATAATTAATAGAAATTTATCCACAATAATCAATGCACATCAGATGGTCTGCACGCCTTTGCTAATGAGGCCAGTTCAGAGACCAGAGCCCTGTAGCTGGCACAATGTAGTCCCTGTTGCATATGCTCCCCACCCATTCAGACAGGACCAACCTCCAGGCTCAGGAAGCAGCCTCTGACCTTGAGTTAATTCCCCTGCAATTTGTCCACAGAGATGCAATAGAGCCAAGCCCTCACACAGCACCTGGCCCTCTGAACTGGTATGGTTCTAACCCTTAAGAGTTTGTCATTTTGAATTATATACATCTTGAATTTCAAAAGAAATCTAGATTCCAATGGGGGGAAATGTTTTTAAGTAGCATCAATTAAAATAATAATTTTGAAAGACATAGGACAGGTATTGTATATTCCTGTTCACCCATCTGGTCCCTCCTTTATTGAAAAAAAGGTTGTAGAGATCATGCCACAGATAGATACTGTCACAAAGAGTCCTTCAAGTTCACTGTAGTTACTGTTAAAAGACGAGTCAGATGGGAACCTCAGGAAAATTTTGGAAGTATGAAACACATCCTAATGTCTTTATACCCTGAAAGGAGTGGAGACAGAGAGAGTCACGTGCAGAACAAGGAGGCCTTGCTGGCCAGGACAAGGACACTGAGGAGCTGGGAAGGTGGGGCCCAGAGCACGGGCCTTTCAGAGAAGGATGCGCCACCTGTCAAAGGGAGGGGAAGGGCTGCACCAGCAGGCTCTCAAAAACAGGGTCCCTCGGGATCATGCGAAGGGGTGACATGGATTTCTGAAAAGCAAGAGGGAGTAGTTTGGATTGGGAACACTAGGCAGGGTCTCAAGCAAGGGATTGTAGCCATTAGTGACCCTGCAGAAATTCATCCCAATGCTGCCTGATACAATGGACATCTGTGTGCTTAGTTCCACCTATACAGTGTGGGCCAATTTTCATTGTTTAAAGAGACACTATGAAGGATAATCAATATATATTGGGTCAATCTGGCCAAGAGCTCATAGAACGATGACCTCTGGGCTGGATTCCATAATCCCTTTAAGCTCTGCAACTAATATTTAACATCTTCAAGGAAAATTCACAGAAATTCTACATAAAATTAATTCAGAATTTTTCTTTTAAAATTCAACTTACTAGAAATAAATAACAGACAGATTAAAATGTGCCCTCCTTTATGGAACTATTTTTAAAATTTCTTAAGTACTATGTTATGGCTTGTGTCTAGATGTCCCCCCAAAGCCTCATGCAGTCATCGATGGGGTTCTTTCAGCGGTGCCTAGATCTAGAGTGTGTGACTTTCAGATTGATTCATGGTGCAATGCTAGGCTCAAGGGCACTAGGATTAAGGCTGTGAGTGCTTCCCACCCTGAGTAGCCTGGATAAGACATAAGGGATAGAAAGAGCTGTGGTTGTCCCTTTTTGCTCTGCTACCTTCTGCCCACTATAAACTCTTCTCTTCAATGCTCATGTGCCATGCCAACCTGCCTTGGAGCCAGCCAATTATGAACTGAAACCTCTACAAACTGTAAGCTAAATAAACCTTCTCCCCTTTAACTTTGAGTGTTGAGCATTTTGTCTCAGCAATGAGAGAAAAGTAACTAAGACAGAATTTGATACCAGAGAAGTGGGGTCATTGCTGTGACTGTACCTGACCATGTGGTTTAGGAGCCTTTGGAGCTGGCTTGTGGGAAGGGAAAGAGTTAGGAAAGGTTTGGAGATGCCAGCTGAAAAGTCAAGCTGGAATGCCTTAGGCTGTATTTGATGAGAGATTCTGATCAGAGCTCAGAAGACCAAAATGCTGATAGAAATGCTGCCAGTAAAGACCAGGCTCAGGAGGTTTCTGCTGGGAAGAAGGACTACATTGGCTGTTGGACTCCAGATGATGTGTGTTATGGCTTGGCAGAAAGTTTGCCTGCATTTTGCTTGTGACCAGAAACTTTGCCTGAGACTGGGATTAAAGGTGGCAGACTAATTAATCTGGCAGAAGAAATTTCAAGACAGTCTAATGTTGAGGTGGTGGCATGGGTACTGTTTGGGGCTTTTAGCCACATTTCTGTTGAGAAACAAGAACAAAGAGCCCAGCAGAATAATTGAAAATGTGAGTTTAGCCAGAAAAGTAGCTTCAGTAAACTTGTAGCCTGCAAAGATGGAACAGAGGAGAAATTGGTTGCTGAAAAGACTAGCAAGAAAAAGTCAAGTATTTCAGAAGGCAACAGAAGAGATGGCCTGAGGACATCACAAGAATCAATAGGACTCCAGCCTTGGCAGCATCAGAGTTGCAAAGGTGAAAGACTGCTTTGAGAAGAGAGCCCCAGAGAGCCATTTTCCAGAAAGGCGGTGCCCTAGGGAAGTTGTTCCTTGGGATTTGGTTCATAGGCACTTAACCTCTACAGCCAAGAGAGAAGGAAGCCTGGCTACTGCTCCAGCTGGCAGCAGCCCTTGGCGTCATTCACATGGCGCTAGTTTTAGGTGCATGCAAAATGCAAGAGTTGTGAAGTCAGGAAGGCTTCCACCTAGATTTCAGAAGAAAGCCTGGGAGGCTGGGCAGTGTGCTCCTGAGACAAAAGTGTGTGAAGCCGTGAGTGTAAAGGGAAAGGTACAGTAGAAACCCCAGAAATTTGGAAAAGCCGGGAATGTGGTGGGTCATCTGAGGAAAACTGCAAGGAGAGAGCAGAACTGGCCCCAGAGAGAAGCCATGAGAGTTATAACAATCACTGGCAGTGCCATAGTGGCAGAGCCATCCAAGCCCTTTGGTGTTCACAACTTGCCACAGGTTGCTATGGATGCTGGAAGTGGAACTGTGAGATTTAACGTTTGCTGCCCTGCTGGTTTTGCTTTGTTCCCATTGCTATCCCCTTGCTATCTGCTATCCCCCTTGTTCCCCTTGCTATCCCCCATTTCTAACTTTTGGAATAGAAATGTCTATCTTGCGCCATTGAATGTTGCAAGTGTTTAACTTTGTTTTCATTTGTACAGGGACTTACAGCTAAGAATTTGCCTTAAATCTCAGAGGAGATTTTGGACTTGTACTTTTCAGCAATGCAATTATTAGGACTTTGGCAATTCTTAGAGATGGACTAAATGCCCTTTGCATAAAGGGATGTGCATGAGTCTTTGGGGGGCCAGGGGTGAAATGTTATGGATTATGTTTAGATGTTCCCCCAAAAGCCTCAAGCAGTCGTAGGTGGGGCTCTTTCAGTGGTACCTGGATCTAGAGTGTGTGACTTTCAGGTTGATTCGTGGTACTATGCTAGGCTAGGATCAAGGCCACTAGGATTAAGGGTGTTAGTGGTACCCACCTTGAGTAGCCTGGAGAAGATATAAGGGATAGAAAGGTCTGTGGTCGTCCTTGTTGCTTTCCTACCGTCTGCCAACCATCAATTGTTTCTCTTCTTTGATGTTTGTACACCATGCTACCCTGCCAATTATGGACTGAAACCTCTATAAACTGAGCTAAATAAACCTTCCTCCTTTAATTTTATGTGTCAGGTATTTTTCTCAGCAATGAGAGAAAAGTAACTAAGACATGCTGTCTGAGTAAACTTAGCAAAACCAAAAAAATGATATTTTTTTAAATGTGTAAAAAAATTAAAATCGCCATTTACAAGAAGCTGCCAACTTGGTTTTAGGGAAAAAACCTACATGTCTCAGGTATTAACTTGGTAATACAAATTCAAGTTTTCAGAAAGCTGAGTATCAACAAAATTTAAGGGTCTGGGGATTTAGCTCAGTGGTTCCACCACCTGCCTCACAAGCGCAAGGACCCAAGTTCAATCCCCGGTACCAAAAAAAAAAAAAAATTTTAAGAAAAATAATTATGAAAAACAAGAAAAAAAACATGGAGAAAATATTGAAACTTTCACCAATATGCTTATGACACCAATAGTTGAAGTTCTAAAAATATTACCTGTAATGATAGAGCATTATTCCAACTACAAAAACAAAAAAGAAATTGAAGTTAATATAAATCAGAACTAAGGAAGAACTTCAAAAATTAGTAGATATGACTTCTCAAATTATAGGAGCATTTTTTTCTTTTTTCAAGATAAATTCCAAAGGTTTATTGCACCAAATGCCACAGAAAATGGATCAAAATAATACATGAACAAGTTTTAAGAAAAGTTTCCCATATATTGACATTGGTTATCTATTCAGTTGATCAAAAATAGGAAGTCCCAGTGTATTCTATGCGGCCAGGCTCCAGGGGTGCCAGCAGGTACGGGGCCCCAGATGACTACAGATTAAGGAGGATAAGCTGTAGCCACTGGAGGGCAACAGATGGAGGGAAGCTGGGACTACCGAGCTCCTACAGGAGTTGCTGATGATCCCAAGGAGAATGCTGGTCAAGCCTGGAACTTGCCAGCCTCCCCCTCTGGAGATGTTCACAAGGATAGTAAAAGGATCATCTTTTCATCTTCATCAATTTTAGACTTGAGTCAAAGTGGTCTGCGCCATCTGGAAAAGGTCTTTAGAATCCCCAACCTTCAAGCTTCTTTCTTTTTAGAAAAGTTATCAAATTTATTTCAAAAATAGAAAGTCCCTATCAATTTCTCTTAATGAAGATTTTAAAATTTTTTTTTTTGGTACCGGGGCTCAAACTCAGGTCCTTACACTTGC